CGCTGCAAGCTCCTTCCTCACATCTACAGCTGATTCTCAGCAGCCGGCACACAAACAGTGTTACTGAGTGAACCCAGCAGGAAGGTCAGACTGTATGCAGGGGGCAAGTTGTGAGGTCTTTACTGGGGCACGTGTTTGTTTAAGTCTTATTTTAATTTTAGGATTTGTTGGCTTGGTCATGGCATCATATTTATTTGAGGAAAATGAATAATACATTACCGTGAACTAAATATGGCAGTCAAAATGTTATCTATTAGCTCGACCAGATCTTTAGTTTTAGTCTGTGTATGGATCCCATTGCTTTTTCTTTCCTTTAGTGAATCTGATGTGGTACAGACATGGTTTCTCTTAGTCCTCATACTCATTTTAATCTACAAAATACTATTAAACTAGCAACTTCATTGTCAATTTCTTTAATACAGCTTCTTGTCACCCATTTACAGCCTTAGCGTAAACCAGATATCAGCAGTAATGGCTACAACACAAGGTGTCAATAAAACCGATACTCAATGGCTTTCCTGTCAACTCCCTCAAGAATAATGTGTGTCTGTCCACAGAGGGGAAGCTAAGCTGACCACAACAAACTTCATAACTACAGATGCAACTACCTCAGCATCACTGCTCAGGTACTGCAGTGTCATGACAAAAGCCTCATTACTGACTGAGAGTAACAGTGTGAAAGGACAGAGAGGGAATGAGAGGACGGGAAACAGAGACGATAAGAGAAGGAGACAAAACAGAGTCGTCCACAACCACATACACACAATGCATGCACTCAAACACACACATGGCTAAAATTACATTCAAGAGGGCATGAACTAGGCCACTGCTCTGCACTAGGCAGGAAAGTGGTAGTTTGCTAAGTGAACAGAGGCTTTCAGAGACATCAAGGTTGCAGGCTAACACCAAATGTGGTTACACGTGACCGAACACACATTATCATTGTCAGCCCTGTGGCTAATAATCAAGATCCAACCAGAAGAGGAAAAAGGGAAAGCGTGGAGCAATCAGTCGTCGTTATACATGAGAATAGAATACTTTAACTTTAAACTTCAAATCATTTCAGCTATGAAATAATGACCAGATTATGAGGTACCATGTTCTCTTAAACTGCAAAAAACAAAACGTTCAACAGCTTATTTTCTTCCCACTGAGAGTTTGGCCAGATTTGAGAGGAGTGACTGGCAAACCAACTCATCAGACAACTAGTAACAACCTCGCTCAGTAAAAGTTGGCAGGCACGGCTTTTAGCCAGACCAGCAGCGAGACCAAAACTGACAGGCATGACTCGCACCTAATAAGCATCACACACTGGAGTTGTCTATTAAAAACTTCTTCTGCTTACACTCTATGAAGCTGACTGGCTCAATTTGTATTGGAATTCTTTTCTTCTATTATGTAATCAGCAACCAACAGAGATATCTTTTGCCAGTTGTATGGCTTGGAACAAAAAATGAACACTACATTTTAAGCATAAATAACACAACTAAGAGACTACAGTGAGTAGAGGGCTTTGATTACAACTGTGTTCAACATCTTCTTAGCTTTATAGCATGCCAACATCACACACAACACAAAGAACAGCTGAGGCAGCAATTTCACCAGTTTTAAAAGGTACTAAAAGTATTGGGGAAAACAATTATTTGACATGACGATGCGCTAGATGAAAAGCTAAGGGATCACTAGCAGTTTATATATCCATGTATATGTGCACGAGAAATCATGTAAATCCATCCTGTACTTGTCAAGTCATTCCACTCAAGCCCAAAATGTCCATGTTATTGTGGCAATTGAGAAAAAAGGACCAAAAGTCTGTCTGATTCAGCCAGGGATGTCAGCACAAAATTGGTGTGCCAATTTATCTAATAGATGTTGAGATGTTTCGCAAAATAGATGGAAACTTTTAACAGATGGTGGAGCTACAGGAACATTTAGGGGATCGCCATAGTTATCCGGGATCATCCTCCGAGGATCATGAATATCAAATATCATTGCAATAGTTCCAATAGCTTTTGAGATAGAGATCCCTGGCATTAGCTTACTTATTAGGTCAAACACAGGCCATCACAAGACAATTTGCTATCAGCTGTTTCAATCTAGATCAGATGTTGTGTTGAGCATCTCTATAAACAACACTGCTTTTTCTCATAGGTAAAAAATAAATGTTGAAAACACTCTTTTTATGTCAAATCATAGTTATATTTTAAATAACATTTATTCACATGGCCCAGAAGTCAGATAATGATGCAAACGGTTGTGATCTAGCTAAAACATTTAAACATGCCAGCGATTCAACAAAACGTCATCTGCTATGCAATGGGAGAATAGCAAGATGCATGTATTATTAATAAAGCCATATAGAGAAAGCTGTTAACCCACTTAACAACACAAAGCTAGATTTCAATGTTGTTTATAATTAATTCAATGTTGCAGGCCGTATTTTTCCAGAAGCCCTTGTTATTGTGGCGTTCCAATAGGCACGTTACACTCATACATACAAACACAGTGGCATTAAACTCTGGAGGTCGTTCAGCACGGCTGCAACAAACAGGCCCTACACATTAGGCCTTTGTGCTTCGAGAAACATCAGCCTCTTTTTTTTTTTACACCCTGCCTGCAGCACAGCCGAGCACCGCAATGTGCTGACACCATCATCAGCTATTCTAAACCTTTACCACAGCTATATCCACACATCCAGAAAAAGACAGGAGGGAGAGAGAATAGACAACAGCTCATTTTTATTCATCTTCATTTACAAGACGTGTGTAATTTTCAGTGTCAGTTAGGAGGATTTATTCCGTATTTTTTTATGCATATTGTGGATGTCCTGATGTGCTTCCTGTTTGGCTTTGCTCGACCTCATTCAACATCCACCCTGCCACTGATGATCCATGGATGGATGGCTTATGACCCGTTAAGAAGCATACATATCGTGTAGTAGCAGCAGCAGTGTAATGACATATTATCGATCAAAACAATTAAATATAAACTGTACTGTTACAGTTGGAGGCATATTTTTGGCGGAAGTATGAGCCAATGTGAAAACATATTAGATGACCATACATAATGTATATTACTGTTTTATATCATCAATCAATCTTTCAACACTACATATTAAGTAAGTCTTGTCGAAATACCAAAACACAACGCGTGCATCATTCTTTACCAACACGGTAACATTTCCTAATAAGCAGAGCTGTATAGACACCATTAACACAAGGTTAACACATAAGAAACCAAATATAGCAGCCAACTGTGAGATGGCAAGTCTGCGAATTAATATTTTGCGAGATGCCTTCGAGCAAAAACAGACTGGAGAGGTTAAAATCAAACGGTGTAAGTCAAGGAAGCTCTAAACTGCATTCAGGGAGGCTGATCACTCATAAACAATTTATCCATGGCTGGTCATTCACTGGAGCTGCTTGACAATTTGAAAAAAGAAGTCCAGTAAGAGCGGCCTATTAAATGCAATCTTTAGAATACAGAGGTGGAGGTGGACTCTATGAGGAGAAAACACCAGGACATCATCACTTGTCACTTTTGAAAGTCTGGGGTATATTCAATCTAAGAGCTGCGATGAAATAGGATCTTTTGACAAATGGCTACTATAACACTCGAGAAGTCGAGTTGGATAGAGATGGTTGACGCCCTTCACTCCCTTGGGCACTGAGATGATTAAATCAGTTTAGTCAAGGTGTCATTTCAGGAGAAACTGACAGCAGAAATGGGTCAATCTGCAAAACTGAGATCTGCAGCAGGAACTAAGATCGTCATGTCAATATTACTTGGGTCGAACAACGCTGAGTCATTTGAATATTTCCATCTAAATGACCATCAGTCAGATGACCCATAGACCACTCGGGGAGGATGTCTTTTTAATTACTGCCAGGCACTGAAGTGCACTGACACTGAACCACATTGGAGCACATCTATAGGCCCCGGGCTGCCAACTGGTATGCACAGTATGCATCTGTCCTGCTGCATACAGTGCACCATCCACTTGGCATTAGGCACTGCATGGCAGGTGTGCAAGGGGTCAGCATTGTTAATCATTCTAGCTTTGCATCTAAAATGGCACTGAAGCAGTCCAAAATAGGAGTCTGCAGATCCAGATATATACAGTAGAGCATCATCACATCCCTTTACAGCCAGTGTGAGATGCAGTGCCCTCATTAGAGCAGTGGAGGATACCTGTGGCCTATCACTGATCTCGGTGAGGAGTCAGCCAACTGGTGGCTTGTCTGCCCAGAGGAGGAGCATCCCACCAGGCTACAGGTCATCTGCTGCAGTGCATCTCCCGGTGCTTCAGCTGTCAAACACCCCCCTCTGCACTGACCACAATGTGCTCCACACTGCATGCAGTACCGAAGCTGCAATGGGTGAGCTTTATCTTGGACACTTTTGACGGTTTAAAAAAAATAAACATTACCCCCACCCCTCATATGAAACTCGCACTGTATCTTTAAAAGAAAAGGCCCGACAACTTAAGAGCAAAAACTTTGTTGAAGACAGGCCTGCTCAAGACATCTCGGCCTGCTGTCCTGGCTCTGAGAGGGTAATGTTGTATACGTGCATGTCCGGGTTAGTGATGTGCAGACCCGGGCTAATGTGGCCTGGTGTAGCCCCTTACTCCTTCATGCGTCTCTTTCCCTATTCTTTCCATCCCCCTCTCGACGCCATCTGTTTGTGGCATGAGAGAATGTGGAAGTAAAAAAAGAAAAGACGACATTTTGACTGTAGTTGCTGACCTACATCGACCATTTGTTTCCAGCGCAGCGCTAAAACCCGCACCGAAACCGCAAAGCGAAAACGCACAGGCTGTTAAAATAGCCAGACATTACGCGCATACATTTTGTATCCTGGTCAGGAGGAATTTGATAAGTTACGCTTGAAACACTGCTCCGCCTCGCCGGGCCGGACAAGTCAAGGCTCCGGCGGCACAGACATTTCCTCTATAACCGTCAAAACCGAGAGAAATTCATATGAAATGCGTAACTCACCTGATTCCAAAATCGGTTTATGGTGGCGACGTGATTGTGGTTAATTTCAATATGGGAAAAACAGTTACAACGGTGGGTCCCCGTTGTGTGTAGCAGGAAGGAGGGAAGGGAAGGCGAGAGGGGCTGACGTGAATGAATAAACAACTGAGCTCCTCCTCAACGCCACAAGTAAAGGCGGAATGTGGCTGACTTTGAGCAATTCACAAGCAGCCATTAAAGCATGCCCTTAAATTAGTATTTACCAGCAAATACTGATGTTTTTAACAGGCTTTACAACCTTTTCCTCGTTTAGGAATGCCAAATAGAGCATGCTGCTGGTTCAAAAATACTAATCCTAGTTATATATATGATATCTTCCAGTTATTTTATTGCATCATTAGTTTATATTAAGTGACATAAAACTAGCTTTTACTGTAAAATACATATTTTGTATGGGAAAAACTAAATCCAGCAGGTGGTGCTGCCTGCACCCTGAAAACAGGACTGATTTAGGCATTCAGACAAAAATCCATTAAGATCCCCTGCAGACATTAAAACATGTCTTTCGATTGATAACACTTTCTTTGAAACAGTTCTTAAATAAAGATATCTTATCTTATTCAACCACATAATTGATAAACTGCATACAGACTGAAAAATCTAAGAAAACCTAATTTTGAAGGGATTGTTGGGACTCTGAAAAACAAGCCTAGACTTTCAAATACACGAGTACATTTGGGGGAACCAGCTGTTTGTCTCCATCATTTGACAGTGTGCAGACATTTTCCCCCAACACTGAGTAATACAAGTACACATACATAGATAGACACATATTAACACAATATAACATTGTGACAAAAATACATTTACATACAAGACCTATTTCAAAGGAAAGCTGTGACCTGTATTTGTACTATGCTTGACAAGTTATCACAGTGACTACTGTATCTCTACATTAGATTAAGTTAAATGAACCCTATAATTATAACTATGATTAGAATTGTGTCTAAAAGAAAGACACAATTCAGTCACTAGAGGGCACAATAACTCCACTAAAGTTCTGGCACTGAGCTAAAGTACAGTGAATTTGCAGACTCCAAATAATGAATGTGTCAGATGATTCCCTAATTAATCAATTCCTCGTAATGTGGGAATAACTACATCAGTGTTTTTCTTGTAAACTGTCAGAGAAGATCAAGGCAGATCCACTTTATGTTCAGCGGTAAAGCTTTACACCAATAAAGGAAATGATAATCAAAATGATCAAGTGAATTGTTGCTGGTAAACAGAAAATGGTTGAGGGATTGTGCTGTAAAGCTATACAAAAACACAGATGTACTCTAAGTATTTGTGTGTGTCATATGTGTTCCTTTCAGCCCTGTCGTACAGTGCTATTAGTCTCCACACTGCAGCCTGTGATTATCCAGTGTTATTGACAGAATGCTTTTTTACATAAAGCCGCTGCTGTGGCGCCCTTCAGTTTACAGAGGCCTGTCGATACAGAATGCGCTGTGAATTTAAATGTCTGCAGGTTGGGGGTCTCAAACCTAGGTTAAAACCGTGTCAGCGAAGTGAGATGAGTTTTTCATTGATTTTTATGTTAGAAGATCCAAGGGTACGAACACTGCAGGCATTGTCAGAGGGGGAAATCCGCTTGTTTTCCCTCAGGTACAGAACAGCACTGGAGTGTACAACCAGACAATAAGGGGGTGTTTGTGAAGGTCAGAAGTCATACTTGTTCTGACCATTTGAGGCTTCTTGTCATTACATACTGGATGTCTTTTTTGTATTTGTGAGCAGAACAAGTGCTGTTCACATAATGAAAACAGATTGTGATATACTGCTTTGATTTACAGTAACACATGCTCCCTATTTCCGCCATGCCAGCATATTAATATTCTAGTCTGGTACTGTTGGTTCATCATGATGCGCAACGGTGATAATTTGACTGCCTGCTTTTCGCATTGCAGGAATCTGTGCTGTGGAGTCTTTGAAAAGGCTTCAAAATGTTGTTCCTGTGGGTGGTTGATTTAGCAGCGAGGCCTATCTCCTTCTCACCTTCCTCCTCTCTGCCCTGCCTGTCTAGACTCTGATTACCATCTGCTTCATCACTTTGGACGGTTCTCTCTCTCTCTCTCTCTCTCTCTCTCTCTCTCTCTCTCTCTCTCTCTCTCTCTCTCTCTCTCTCTCTCTCTCTCTCTCTCTCTCTCTCTATGAAATAAGATGCTAAAGCAGAACTTGTCAGGCGTGTTTGAACAACAAATCAAATCTCCTTTTATCCAATGTATCATTGCATCATAGCAATAAATGTTGGTGTATTTCCTGTAAGTACAGTATTTCCAGAGTGATGCAAGAATAGCGTGATGAGTGTATGACTGTATTTGATTCTCAGGACAAGATGTTGCACAATTATTAATCTGAAACATATTTTCTTAAAGGAAAACTACATCAGAGAGATAATCTGACATGTGCTTCTTGTTAAAGCCGCAGCTAGCTGAGACCTGCTTTGTGATCAAGTATAATTTTCTTCTTAAACTACACATAATAGAGCCAATGGTGATGTCATCTGAGCCAATTATGTAACAAGTTACTGACAGTAAATGCAAGAGTTTAAGACAGAGAATAACAGGAATTTGGGCAGATTTGTGCAGCATACCTGAAATATAATAGAAGGCACTTGTTTTGCATGATTCTACAAAAGTCAAACTACATTTTTAGCCCCATATCTCCCCCCGAAAAGTTGTCTTCTTTGTATTCTAATTACAAAACAGATCAGTGTTGTTGACATTTCACCTTGCATGGGACCAGGTTTGCTAATATTTATCAGCCTTTGTTTTCAAGCAAGTGGCATTGCTCAAGATCTGTCATTTTAATCCAATGCAAAATGTCTTAACATCTGCTGGATGGATTGCCGTGATTTGTTTCGTTCAGACGTTCATGTTCCTCAGAGAAATGCATGATTATCCTCCAGCAGCACCAGCAGGTGTTCATTGTTCAAGTCATTTTCTTTCAAAGCTTTGGTTTGAGACTTAAAGGGGACCTATCATGCAAAATGCACTTTTGTACGTCTTTTATACATGAATATGTGTCCCCGGTGTTCCAGGGAACTCACCAAGTGTCAGAAAACACAACCCTCTCTATTTTCCTCCATACTCAAATCTCTAAAAAAGGGGCTGCAACGGATCTGATAAAAACTGATCCAGAATACTCATGACATTCCCATCACAGCAGCTGAAGGCCTACTTTGTGTTTTGTGCTATGATGGTAAACATTATAGCCTACATGCTAAACACCAGCATGTTTTCATTGCATTTCTTTTTCGAGCATGTTAGCATGCAAATGTTAGCATGTTGCTTAAAGCCAAGGTTTCAAATGAGCCACTGGCATGGCTATAGATTTTTAGACTTGTTCTATCACGACAATAAAGAAATTAAACAAGCAATACAAATAGAAATCCAATAGTTTGTGTCCTTCACCTAGGCTTGACACTTCATGTCACTTCATATACTGTAGGCATTCATGAGGGCCTACACATGAAAGAGCATGTTCAATTTGTTGCTCCAGTGGATTTTAACTTTGGGCTCCCATGTGTTTGCTATTCATTCAAGTCAGTGTAGTACTCTGTTTTCCCCTGTTCTTGACAGTGTTTTTATTGGGGTGTAACAGCATTACCTCATCCATCCTCTGACAGTTCGCCTCCGAGCTTTCAGTGGTTTCAAGAGATGTACATGCAGGGCGTGTTGGGGCAAGTGAAGTTCACATGTTCAAATTCAAAACTAATCCCTGGAGAAAGCCAGGCTGTTACGTAAGAGCTTGTTTCAAAGAGTGTGTTTTCAAGAAGCATTGAAAACAGAGAGCATTCTTTCTGCTTCCTGGACAGCTGTTGCACGTGGGCGCAGATCTGACTTTAGATTCAATCTGTTTATATATGCTTCTTTCTAAAGTGCTTAAAAACTGTGCCACATTGACAGAAAGGTGTTGGACTCACATTCCACAGTATTGTAGGAAAAGTATGTGAACTATGACAGCCGTGTGAATGCCACAGTGGGGTCAGAGTGTCTGAAGAATCCCACTCCTGTGAGGAGTTTTAATATAGCCGGGGTCACTCTCACCCCCTGATGAGAGACCAACACAGGAGCATCCTCCTCCTACATGACTTACGGCCTGAATAGACCAAGATCTTTGGCCTATTTCAGGAAATACAGCTCCAGTTAGGTTTGTAAAGGAGTGTACAGTGTCAAATGTAAGAGACTGTGCAGACAGACTGTCCACAGACAGACAAGGAAAAGGGAAGAGACGTCTCAATCGACAACTGGGTAGTAACCTCAACATATGCAGAACATCATGGAGGTCTGTGTAGTACATGATGTTCTGTCGCTCTGTTTATTTCAGCAAAACTGCTCCTTCATAGTTGCATGTTAACACTTGACTAAAACAAAAAACAAACCAAAACCCCTCAGAGACAAAGTCAGAGAAGTGATTTTACATTCTAACCATCTATGTAGTTAAAGGGACAGTGTGTAGTATTTGGATGCATTTAGCTTTGCAGTTGCAGACTCAAAGATTTAAATGCTTTATTGTCATATGCACAACAGTAAATGTGTAGTTGTTTGCAATACAAATCTTAAATTCCAGTCCCCATTTCCCCCTGAGTTCCTCCACCGCTCAACCTTTGCTGTACTGCCGCAACAAGCCACCGTATAACTCTGTGGTACCTCTCTCAGAAGCTGTTTAAGTAGCATTACACTACTTAAAAGCAACAAAATGTAGGTAGCAACTGGCATTAACATACGATTACAAGCCTATTGAAAATGTACAGTTACCTTCAGGTAAAAACAGAAAACGCTTATGGTTTTTGGTTTGTCTGTCCTGAGTTACTGTAGAAACTAACTGTGCAACTTTTAATGGACGTTTTGGAACAGGATCTCTTTAGATCCATGTCATTTCAGTGGATTTTAAACTCATGAAAACATACTTATGGATTGGGCGTAGGAAGCATCCTGAATGTGGGGGGGACATTTTTAACGGGGGGTGTGGGGGCGAAAAAAAACGGACTTTCCGCATAGTAAAAGTGGGGGGGTCTAAACTAATCATTTGAAAAAGTGGGGGGGACTTGTCCCACCCTCATATAATGGCTGCGACGCCCATAATGGATATTATATCTA